CCCTCCCTCCCTCCCTCTCCCCCACTCTCAAACATGAATAAACATTTAAAAAATAATTCAAAGCGTGTCTGAGTGGCACAATTGGTTAAGCGTCTGACTAAGGCTCAGGTCATGATCTCACAGTCTGTGGGTTCGAGCCCCTCATGGGGCTTTGTGCTGACAACTCAGAGCCTGGAGCCTGCTTCGGATTCCTGTGTCTTCCTCTCTCTCTCTCTCTCTCTCTCTCTCTCTGCATTCCTCCATTTGTGCTCTCTCTCTTTCTCTCTCAAAAATAAAATAAATATTTAAAAAAATAGAAAATTAAATTTAAAAAATTCAAAGTTGACACAAATTGAATCCTACCCGTATGAATAAGGTAGGAGATTGTGTGAATATTTGTGCAGCACCTACCAGGTGCAACACACTTCCCTGAGACCCCATTATGCAAGAGGGAGAAGACTTCTAGTCCCTGGAGGAAGGAGAAAGCATATAATTAACTATTAGATGAGGCAGGACATGGCAAAGGTCCTATGGTCACTGCAGAGTACCACTGAAAATTCAGAATAGGCTGAGAACACTACCACTTAGTTGGGATGCACTTGATGTAGGCAAAATAGAGATAGGAAGCCCCTTAAGAGTAACCTCAGAAGAAGATCAGATTTCTTGAAGTCATTGGACAGTGGAAGATATGCTTGTTGACATGAACACCTTTTTTAAAAAATAATTTTTTATGTTTATTTATTATTGAGAGAGAGAGAGAGAAAGCACAAGCTCGTCAGGGGCAGAGAGAGAGAGAGGGAGACACGGAATCTGAAGCAGGCTCCAGACTCTGAGCTGTTAGCACAGAGCCTGACACCGGGGCTTGACCTCACGAATCGCAAGATCGTGACCTGAGCCGAAGTCAGATGCTTAATTGACTGAGCCACCCGGGCGCCCCAAAACAGACACCTTTAACAGTTAGAATTGGTCCTCAGATACTGGGTGTTGGACTGTGTTCCTGAATATCCTGAGAGGGGAACACACAGTTGGTACCAGAATCAGAGTCAGCTTATATTTGAAGATGTTACCACTGACACTACCCACTGAACTGGGTTGAATAGTGTCCTCCCAAACCCCCGCTCATGTGAGGTTCTCATGCAGAACCTCAGAAGGTGACGTTATTTGGAAATAGGGTTGTTGCAGCCATATTTAGTTGTGATTGAATCACACTGGAGCAGAGTAGGGCTTGAATCCAATATGACCGATGTCCTTACAGGAGGGAAATTTAGACACAAAGACAGAGACACACAGAGAGGAGGCCACGTAAAGATGGAGGGATAGATCGGCATGATGTCTACAAACCAAGGAATGCCAGCAGATACCAGAAGCAAGAGAGAAGCATGGAACACATTATCCCTCCAAGTCTACATAAGGAATTCACCTTGCCAGCTTCCTGCTTCTAGTCTATCAGAGAATAAGTGTCTGTTGTTTAAGCTACCCAGTGTTTTGTACTTTATTACAGCAGCCCCAGGAAACTAACACGGTTAGTCGATTGGTATGCTTACAGACCTCCATTATCAGGGACCCACTGCCCTTCATTGTTGGTGCTCTGTCAGTCATGAGTGGTTTTCCATTCGGGGTCAACTTAGTGATTGCAGCTCCAGCCATCATGTGTGTATTCAGGTCAGCATGAAGTAGAAAGGAAAGGTAAGAGTTTGCTGTCTCCCTTTAAGAAGACTTCCAGATGTTTCCACAGGCTACTTTGGCTTGGCTAGAACTTAGTCTCATGGCCACACCTCACAACACAGGCAGCTTGGAAATATAAGTCTTCATTGTGGATGACCATATGCCAGGAAAAATCAGGTACAGAAACAGGGGAGAATGGCTTTTTGGCGGGAGGTGGGGAGGGACATCTAATAGTCTCTGTGATAGTCTTTGAAAATCAAACCAATGTATGATGAATGGATAAAGAAGATGTGTGTGTGTGTATATATATGTACGCACACACATTGGAATACTATCAGCGATGAAAAAGAATGAAATCTTGCCATTTGCAACAACATGGATGGAACTGGAGGGAATTATGCTAAGTGAAATAAGTCAGTCAGAGAAAGACAGATACCATATGTTTTTCCTCATATGGGGAATTTGAGAAACTTAACAGAAGACCATAGGGGAAGGGAAGGAAAAATAAGTTACAAACAGGGTAGAAAACCATAAGAGAGTCTTAAATACAGAGAACAAACTGAGGGCTGATGGGGGGGGGGGGCGGGGAAAACGGGTGATGGACATTGAGGAGGGCACCTGTTGGGATGTGCACTGGGTGCTATATGTAAGTGACGAGGAACAGGAGATATACTTCAGAAGCCAAGACTCTACTGTATATAACGTGTATTAGCCAACTTGACAATAAATCATTAATAAATAAATAAAGGTGAAAAAAAAGAAAGAAAAAGAAAATCAAACCAGTGTAGTGAATATAGAGAATGCAATACTCACTTTACCCTGATTATGGTATGTTCAGAATGGGCAGACCTGGGCTAATTTGGGCCAATCAGAGGCTAAGAGAGGCATGCTGGAGGGTGGTGTGTGTGTGTGTGTGTGTGTGTGTTTAGAAGGCCACCTGAGAACATGAATGAGGAAACGTATAATATCCATCGCTCTGGCAACATCTTACAACCAGTCTTAGGATGAAACAGACTGCAGGTAGCAGTGAACGTGAAGAAAGTGTTTTGGGTGCTTGAGAAAATTGTTGAGTCACTGCATCAACCCACCCTTGAACCCCAACCCCACTCCAAACTTCTTGTTTTGTGACCAAAAAATTTCCGATTCTTTAAGCGAGGCTCATTTGGAGGAGGTGCTGAAATCATGCTTACTGATGTAAACGCTATTCAAATGTAGGAGAATTTTTGAACAGAGTATGAACCTTAACATAGGAGCAGCCTCAGCAGATTTAAGGACTCTTCTTTTCACTTTAGAAATTTCATTTGGGACTCCAATAGCTGCATCTGGCAGGAACAGATGCATTGTTATTTCCAGGTAGCCTCTGATGGCCTGGTCTGTGATGGAGGAATATTGGTTCTGCATTTAGGAAAGATTCAAGGGGGCGGGGGGAGGGTGGGCAGAGGGAGACAGACGTTCTCACACATTGTTGGGAGGGATGTGAATTGGTACAATCTCTTTTGGAGGGCAACTAAAAAAAGAAATTTCTATGTGCATACTTTCGATTTAGCGTCTATAATCTAAGAATTAATCCTACAGATATATTTGTATAATGCAATTGTTAAAAAAGAAACAACAGGCCCCAAAAAGGAGTCACTTGTGCTAAATCCATGTCAGCAAACCAAAACTTAATACCTGATCTAATTGCAGTTTCAGCCCCTCCCAGGGATGTAACCGTTGACCGCCTCAGGCTGGAATTACTTGGTGAATACTAATGAGGTAATATGGGCAGACCCCTGCGGTCCGCCATAGGAAGGTGACCTTGCCAGAAACGATGCACTCTATGCTAAAAGTTTCTTCCTGCCCCTTCTGCTTGTAAAAGCTTTCCATTTTGTACAGCTCCTCGGAGCTCATTCCTTCTAGATTGGATGCTGCCTAATTCATGAATTGTCGAATAAAGCCAACAGGAGTTTTACTGAATTTCGTTGTTTAGCACAATATGTGCGCATACACTTTGTATTGATTGGAACAGTACATGTAATAGCGAACACCAAAAGTAACCTAAATGTCCATCAGTAGGAGCCTGGGTAAATTGTACTGCACTCATGACCCTGCAATGCAATAACTGAAAAAGAAATGAAACATTCTGTATCTTCTGATTTGGAAACAGATATAGCTAACTCCCTAACGTATGTGTTGACTGAAGAGTATGCGTATGAATATATGTATGTTAGCGTATATTACAGTCCCCAACTTATTATGGTTTGAATTACAGTTTTTTTTACTTTACGGTCGTGGGAAAGGAACACACGTTCAGTAGACACCATACTTCGAATCTGGAATCTGGGTTTCGTCCCGGGTTAGCGCGGGACATCTCCCGCGATGCTGGGCAGAGGCCGCAGCTCCTAGTCAGCCCCGCGGTCGGGAGGGTCAACGGTGGTACACGGACAGCCACCTGCAACACACTCCCCGTTTGTCACTTTCAGTACAGGATTCAGTCAATTACAGGAGACAGTCAAAATTTCCTTATAAAATAGGCTTTGTGGCAGATGATTGTGTCCAACTGGAGGCTCGTGTCAGTGTTCTGAGCATGTTTAGTGTGGGCCAGGCTGAGCTACAGTGTTCGGTAGGTTAGGCATATTAAACTGATAAGAACAGATACTACACTTGATCTTAGCCAAAAGGCCGAGAAGCGATAGGTTAGGCATATTAAATGCAACTTTGATTTACGATATTTTCAACTTATAATGGGTTTATCCGGATGTCACCTCATCTAAGTCGAGGAAGGTCTGTATGTATTTCTATATAAATTAATATATATATAACATGTATACATAATATATGTTAACTATCATATTGTAACAATATACATGTTAAATTATATGCATATATGTTAAATTTTATATCATCGAGGAAATATATACATTGTTAGTTGCAATACACACGCAAGTTTAAACACTTTTGGTTCTCTGCCTCACTTCATGCATGAAAACCTACCCGAGGAGAATAAAAGATTTAATGTAAAAAGCAAAACCTAAAAACTTTTATAAGAAACTATAGGGGAAGGGCACCTGGGCGGCTCAGTCAGTTAAACATCAGATTCTTGGTTTTGGCTCAGGTCATGATCTCATGACCCGTGAGTTCCAGCCCTCTTCTGGGCTTTGCTCTGACAGTGCAAAGCCTGCTTGGGATCTCTCTCTCTCCCTCTCTCTCTCTCTCTCTCTCTCTCTCTCTCCCTCTCTGCTCCACCTGAGCTCTCTCTTTCTCTCTGTGTCTCAAAATAAATAAATAAACTTAAAAGAAAATATAAGGGAATACTTTGTGACCTAGAGTTTTAAAAACATCTGTTCATTGAGGGGCCCTTGGGTGGCTCAGTCAGTTAAGCGTCCGACTTTGGCTCCGGTCATAACCTCACAGTTTGTGAGTTCGAGCCCTGTGTGGGGCTCTGTGCTGACAGCTCAGAGCCTGGCCTGCTTTGGATTCTGTCTCCTTCTCTCTTTGCCCCTCCCCACTTGTGCTTTCTCTGTCTCTCAAAAACAAATAAATGAAAAAAAAATTTTTAAAAATCTGTCCATTGAACAGCACTATTTCTTAAAGAGTGGAAAAAATAGGCCATAGACTGGGAAAAAAATTGATACGTATATCCAGAATATATCAAGAACTTCTGCAATCACTTTAAAAAAATGAAAGACAATCCAACAGAATAATGTACAAAAGATATAAAGAGGCAATCCACATAAGCAGATACATCAAGTAGCCATATGGAAAGATTCTCAAGCTCATTAGCAATAAGGAAAATGCAAATTAAAACCACAAGAGATGATTTCAAATCTTTCAGATGGTCAAATACTTGAACGTCTGATCATACCAAATGTTGACAAGTATGCAGAGAATATGAGGGCTGGGGTGGGGGATGCCCCCTCAAGGTAGAATGTCTGGGGTGCCTGTGTGGCTCAGTTGGTTGAGCCCCGACTCTTGATTTCAGCTTAGGTCATGATCTTGAAGTTCATGAGATTGAGCCCCGAGTTGGGCTCTGTGCTGACAGCAAAGAACCTGCTTGGGATTCTCTCTCTCTCTCTCTCTCTCTCTTTCTCTCTCTCTCAAAATAAATAAATAAAACATTGAAAAAAAAAAAGGTAGAATGCCTGAGCCCTATAAAGATCTGAAAATGTCTTGTGTTAGGGTATGTTGCAGTTTTAAAGCAGTCTATATGTGTTTTGACTCCCTGTCTTCAGAAGAGGGAGCTTACTTCCTCTTTCCTTGAGTGTGAACTGGGTTGAGTGACTTACTACTAATGAATAGGTTTTGTAAAGGTGAGGGGATGAACTCCAGACCAGATTATAGAAAACACTGCGGCTCCCTCCTTGCTCACTGTCCTAGATCACTCATCCTGGGGAAAGTCAGCTGCCAGGTTGTGAGGACAGAAGGAGCTGGAAGAGAGGCCTGCGTGGCAAGTGTCTGGGCTCCCTACCAGCAGCCATGGGAGAAAGCCCTATCAGGAAAGGATCCTCTAGCCTTGTGTAACTTACCAGGTTTGGGTTTTTTTTGTGGTTGTTGTTTTGTTTTTGTTTTTTTCTTTTTTTAGAAAGAGAGAGAGTGTACTCAAGAAAGGGAGAGGGAGAGAGAGAGAGAGAGAGAGAGAGGGAGGGAGAGAATCTTAAGCGGTTTCCACACTCATGCAGAGCCCGACTCAGGGCTTGATCCTATACCCCTGGGATTATGACCCGAGCCAAAACCAAGAGTCGGATGCTCAACCAACTGAGCTACCCAGGCGCCCCCTGTTTTTTTATTATCACCCCCTGCTATAGATGGAATGTTTGTGTTCCCCCAGAATTCATATGTTGATGTCCCAAGATGTTGATATCGGGAGGTGAGGCCTTTGGTAATTAGGCCATGAGGGTAGAGTCCTTATGAATGGGATGAGGGTCTTTAAAAAAGAGACCCCCGAAGAGCTCCCACACTCTTGCCACGTGAGGACACAAGGGAGGGAATGGCAGCCACGAGGCAGGAGACAGGCCATCACTGGATTCTGAATCTACAGGTGATTGGATCTTGGACTTCCAGCCTCCATAACTATAAGAAATACATTCCTGTGTTTTATAAGCCACTCAGCCTGTGGTCTTTTATTATAGCAGCCCAAACAGATTAAGACGCTCCCTTAAAGAGAAATGTTAAATTATATTAAACTTCCAATACACTCGTATTAATTATTTAATTTCCCTCTAATAAGAGAAAGTAATTACTACAGAATAAGATTTTGTCAGACAAGGTTGAGCTTTAGAGGACCACAAATCACTGTAATATCTGAGATTGTTTTGTTTTGCCCCCACCCTTAAGAACAAATTCTCACTCCCTTGGGGGAAGTAAACCCCACCCCCCCCCACCCCACTGAGAATGTATGTTCTAGCCCCAGTCAAGCCCACCGATGACTACAGCCCCAGCTGATGTCTTGATTGCAATGTCATGAGAGCCTTTGACCCGAAAGATCTGGCTAAGCCTTTCCTGGATCCTTGACCCTCAGAAACTGTGTGAGACCGTCTTTATGGTTTTAAGCCACTGCAGTTTTAGATCAATTTGTTACACAGCAATAGATAGTTCAGACAAGGGGCAGTGGTTCAACATATAACGTGTACCATCTCAACGTATCTAAGAGTCAAGCAAAGGACTGTGAAGGACCTTACGTTTTGGATAATGCTACAAAGAAAGGAGATACACTGCTTTGGGTTTCACACAGATACCATGCCACAGTAAGTGTGAGAAAATTATTATTAGGTTAAACCATATGAAGTTGTGCTTTTTTTTTTTTTCTAAGATTTTATTTTGTAAGTTATCCCTACACCCAACATGGGGCTCAAACCTACAACCCCAAGATCGAGAGTCGCGTGCTCTACTGAGCCAGCCAGGTGCCCCTGAGGTTGCCATCTTTGTACCCCCAAATAATCAAATGCTAGCCATTTCATGTGGTTCAACCGAACAGTTGCCAAGAATCTGATTACAGAAAAGCACACTCATCAGTTTTGTAGGAAGGCCTATGAATTCTTTAAGTTTTGATTGTGGCTGACTCCAGTAGCATTGAGCTTTTAATTTACCTGGTCTCAGTTCCCTGATCTGTGAAGTGGGGATAATAACACTTTACTTCCTGTTCTCAGAAGGATACAGTATTCCAAGTAATTAGCCGTTGCTGTTCAGATGCAAAGATCTGGAGCAGTGCCTTGTTGCTTGTTAACACTCTGGGTGTATTTTTAGCTTGAAGACATGGAAAATGTAAGTGGCTGGCTTCCCTGGCAGGTGGTTTTCTTTTCTCTTTTCTTTTTTGTTTTCTCTTTTCTCCAGTCCTCTTCTTTTCTTTTCTTTTCTTTTCTTTTCTTTTCTTTTCTTTTTTTCTTTTCTCTTTTTCATGTTTATTTATTTTTGAGAGAGAGCGCTGAGAGAGAGGGAGACACAGAATCTGGAAGCAGGCTCCAGGCTCGGAGATGTCAGCAAGGAGCCCAGTGCAGGGCTCTAACCCACTAACCGCAAGATCATGACCTGAGCCTAAGCAGACACTCAACCGTCTACCGACTGAGCCGCTCAGGTGCCGCCTGGCAGGTAGTTTTCTAAGGCAAATTTTTACAGGTATGAGTAGCTGGAAAGTCAAGTTTTCTGCACAGAAGAGGTTGTATTTTTCTTCCCCCTGAGCAATACTATCTGACCATCTTCATTTGCTCTGTTTTCTGAAGGAGATGTCATATGTAAATCAATCACTTAGATAAAATTTGTCTTACGACTTTATGCATTTAGCATTAAAGCCTGTGTGTGTGTGTGTGTGTGTGTGTGTGTGGTCGTTGATCATTTGTTTGTATTTGTACTGCCAAACCAGAAGCACTATATAAAGATTATAGAATGGAAAAAAAATACAAACTAATTTTCTTTTGCACTAAAGCTCCTTGAAATAAACACAGAAATGAGAATTAACTTTAGCAGCCTGAAGCCTTGCTCTATAATGACAAAAGGAACATTCTGAACTAAAATTCACTTCCCCACCAAAGGTGCTAATTTTTGCTTTTATGGTGTCCACATAGTTACAAAGGAAAAAGCACCGTGGTACCACATTTAGAAAATTGACTGAGGATGCCGAGAAGACTTGTGGGTCCTAGGGCCCTGTGGACAAACAGTAAAATGGAAGATTTGATGTGATGGGTTCTAATCTCTGTTTATGATTTTTGATAGAATAACGATAATTTAAGAAATTAAAAAAAATCTCATTAAACTCATTAAGTGATGGCATGTCTTCCCGAGAGGAACAACATGAAAATCCCTGGCAAGCAACTGTCATCCTTAACATTTGGGGAAGGTTGACATTGTACTCTAACCATTTTGACTGATGAGATATTGATTCAAATACAGTAGTTGTCCTTATGACTGCTTTGAACTGAAATGTTTTGCTCTTAGAAAGGAACGTAGACGTTTATCCTTTCTGGCTGCCTAGAATCCAAACGCCATTCCAACTTGGGGAATCTTGAGCTGGGTCCTAAGCCCCTTTTCCCGATAGGGAACCAAAGAGGCAGCGCTGTGCCCTCTCCTGGATCCCCGGCATCTGCAACACAGCCTGGCGACCTAGGCTGAGCCAATCGGATCATCCTGTTGGGATTTAGAAACTTCAGGAAGGAGTACAAAGGCCCAAACCTGGCTAAAAAAGATGCCCTGTGGAAGAAAGA